TGAGAATTTCAGTCTCCAAAATCATTACAGCCTGATTTGGGAAACTTTCATCATCTTTAAATTGCAGCTACTGTTATTATTTATGATTTGGACATTTCAGATTATTAAAGCTGATCACTCGTCACATATTGGCCTAGCTCAATGAATACTTAAAGCAAATTTCCATGTAAAGACATAGCTTCAAGGATTACTTCCAGTCATCTTTTTCCAGCAGCCTTTTACAGTACAAAACCCAAAACAACTCCTCCACATCCATCAAATTCATGACTTAAAATTATCCATTTGAAGCGACAGAACTAGACAAATGTTTTGTCAAAAGCTTTCCTTGATTTATTACTACTCTGGTTTACATCCCCAAATGTTCCTCTGAGACAGGCAAAGATTACGTGAGGTATCCATCAGGAAAGACTTTGGCTCTCTGTTTTGTTTTTGAAGGAAGCAACAATAAAACATTTCTAATGGAAAAAAAAGATGAAAGGCACAGATGAAAGCCTGGTGTGACATCTGCACAGAGCCCTGCTCTGAATCCCTTCCTCGGCAACACCCGCTCAGCTCCCTCAGTCCTGTTCAACTCCACGAGTGGGTCATGGATGGTCCATCACATCCCAGCATCAGAGACGCAGTAACAGACCACCAAAATGGCGTGTTCAATCATTTCCACAGAGGATATCCAAAAGACAACACCCATCTTTCATATTCAGTTACATTAGCGGAGGGGTTATGATAGATATGACTTGAAGCTAGTAGGGAGTTTTTCCAGCATAACTGAAAAACTAGAATTGTCAGCTTCAACATTCTCAAGTATAAAAGGAGCCAAAACAAAAATAAATCAGACAAGCAGTGTTTGGAGAAACAATGTACTGAAAAACATTTTCCTTAGTGCTACCTTATAAATCATGAAGCAGCAAAAAGAATTAAGGCCAGTTGCTCTTTTCTTTTTTTTTTTTTTTTTTTTAATTTTCAGAAAGCTTTCACCTTTTTTAGTTTATCTTTTGAACTTTAAGTAGGTTCACTTATACACAAACGTAGTGGCATCTTTTTTCATTAGAGTAACATGCACTCATAAATTGAACTCAAATCCTAACACAGAGTAGCAAAATAACTGACCAAACATCTATTGGGACTGAGTATTCACAGGTTTAAAGCTACAAATATGATTAAGTGATCTTGTGATTCTGATCAGTAAGAAGGACCAAATTATCATAAAATAAAATAGATGTATTTTGTATTTACATTAATGCCATTTTAATGGGTTGGGCTTTTCAGCCTGCTCTACACAGCTATTTAGGAAGTTCATTAATAATTAGCAGATTTGATAGCTTCTTACTGTGGGAGAAAGACACCATAATGTGGGAAGAGAGAGCTGGAGAATGGCAGCCTGTTTAATGTTTCAGATAATTAAGTGTGTTGGACAGATGAGTATCTGCTTGATTTATTCCATCTTTTGAAGCCTTCAAGTAAATTATGGTTAACGTAGACCAGTTTTGACAGTGAAAAAATATATTTCCTTTCAGAAAATATGAAGCAATAATCTATTGTTCCAATGCTGCAGTGCTGAATGAAACTAAGTGGTAACGACTTTGGAAAACATAGTATTGGGGGACAAACCTGCCAGTAGTAGAGAATTTAACTGGGATCTTTCTAAACTTTTTTATAGATTGCTTATGTTTCTTTTGCTTCTTACAGTTCTTTTTTATACAGAAAAAGAAATAAAAATAAAATACTATGTTCTAGATTTGAAATCAATAGTCTAATTCACATTGTTTTCAGTGTGCTGGATTTCTCTAAGAGTTCCTTTTTAATCTTACATTCTTACTCATCTGCAAGATGTGGACTGGAAAAGATAGGAGACTACTCCCTTTTCTCTTGGTTGTCAGTCAAAATGTAGAGAAATATTATAAATTAGAAAAGTTCTGTAAAGTTTTAGTGACTCAAAACTCTAAGAGAACTTAGAAGGCAAGCTACAAAAGGACATTTTGCCTTCAGCAAGGATTTCACCTAACTTTTTATTTTCTTGAGCTAAGCATACCAGAGTCTCATGCTCCACCAAAACTTACAAACACTCATTCTCTTCCACGACAATGAAACCTGTTTCTTAGCACCACCTTCAAGCAGCTGCCACGGCTCTTGGAGGACACTACACTTCTCCCCATTACTCAGTGCTCCTGTGGGAAGGCACCCGCCTGTGAGATGTACTCCTGGCCGCCTGCTGCTCCAGCCAGCTGTGCTGACTGTGTGCCACAGCTGCCACCTATGAGAGCAGCTAAAAGCCAAAAATGCTCAAGCAAGTGGGAAACCGATTGGCAGGTTGCCAGAGACTGAGGGGTGGATTAAAACTCCGTCCCAAAAGCTGACACGCTCTCCCCCCTGCACCTGCCAGGGTAGCAAGGAAATAAACAGAGACTTTCAGCAAGCAGAAGGGCCCAAAGGGGCTCAGCAGGTTTCTTGCCCCTCAAGCAACTTTTATGCTTTGCTAGAACCAGTTTAATAACTTCTCTTCTCACCATAGCTCCAGGGAATGGAAAAACTTGCTCCGGCCTTGTCCCCTGCCAGGAGCTCTGACAGGAAAAAGACTAGAAGCAGAGTGAATTTCTAGAAGACAGTGGAGCAGGGTAAATGTTGCCCATGCCCCATGGACATTAGGAACTCCTGAAATAAGATTCAAATGGGATTTAAGTGGTACTTGGGTCGTCTGCTGGCACTGTATGCACGGGCAATTTTTAGTCTCTTGCAGAATGTATTCAAAAGTACCGATAAGGAGTTGAAACACTAATGGATGCAGATGTCCCAAATTCCTCAAGAATTTAAAGAGGGGAAAAGTCACATGTGATATGAAAAAAAACAAACACAGGGTGTAAGATCAATTATCTTTTCACTCTGAATAGCAGAATTAATGGGACAAATCTGCAGCAGATACAAGAAAAGACCAGACTAAAGCTATCCTGATTTACAACAGCTAAACATGTGTCCCAAGAATGAATATTCTGTCTGTTCTGTCCACCACTGCCAATTACTGTCCCATAATTTTTAAATAAATTCTTTGGACAAACTGATCACTGCTTGATGGAAAGAAGTTAATGATTAACTACCCAATAGCATTAAGAAGGTGATGATGAGCTGGTACAACATTATTGGGTAACTGCTTATCTCTGGTGTGCAGGGAAATTGAGTCAGTTTTAAATAACTGACATATTATTATTAATTATATTTGTCATTAAAATAAGTTAGCGTTGCCAGTCACCACCAGTTCTGGTAACTAGTTTCCAGATTTACAATAGTGTTATAAAACACAAAAGTTAAAATCAGCTGACTTTTCCCCTGTGGTTCTGAAATCACATCAATAGTTTTCTGAGCTACATTAGAGTCTTCTTTTCCAAGCTTTATTTTGGGCAAGCACGCTGTGCACAATGTTGTATTTTTTAATAGTGGAATAGTAATGTTATTCATTACAATTAAAAATAAATATAACCTTGCTACTAAAGTTTGTTTTTACCAGTCCTTCCTTCTTGATTGCTAATTTGGTAATAAAACAGAATGCAACACTTGAGAATTAAACGTTACCTAATCGCATTTCTTAAAAGAATTTACATGAGTGTACATGCATACACGTTCCCCACATTATTAAATCATTGAGCTTCTTTACAAAATCTCCTTAGAGATAAGTGGAAGAAAACCTCTGTTTTCTATTACTTTTATAAGGACTGAAGTTCCATTTGTGAAGTAAAGGAATGCCTTTATTAATTAATTATGGGTTTATTAATAAAAACTATGAAATTACTGTTAAATTTTGTAAATAGAATTTATGACTTGGGAAACTGCCTTTTAATATACTGGAACAGGAATATGAATAATTACATAAATTGAAATGTTAGGTAGAAAACAATTTACCACTGGCGGAACAGAGTAACCAAAGAAAAAAAAGTGTATAGTGTGATGAATACAAAAAGCAAAATTTTAAGATATTTGTGCCATATTTAAGTTCTCAGTTTAGATTGAAACATTTGAACAAAAAGCCGAAATAGAAGAGGTACCCCAGCTCCTTCTGTTAAATTCAGTGGGACTACTAGACGCTTGCACAATTACTTTGTGCAGCTCAACATATATGTTAAACACATAAGTTTAGTCACACTGTTTAAAATTTACCAATTTGTGAAACTAAGAGCAGCCAGCGGGCAAGTGTATCACGTGAAACAACCTCCTCACTTAAAACTAATGACCCGTTTATATTAGGTATACATAGTTCTACCACTATACTTCCAAGGATGATTACCACAGAGGTGGCTACTGTTATTTCTGCCTGCTGTATTTGATCACGTTTCCCCACTCTCCCAGGTTTTGCCATGTTCTAAGACATCACCATTAGTGAATTTATTCTCAGAAACAAGTGATCTGTTGCAGCTTATTGCCAGGTTGTTCCATGAAAAAGAACTCAAATATGCACACCTGATCCCCTGTCACAGTGTTTCTCTCTCCTGATATTACCTGCTTTTTTGGCTAAGGAGGCCCTGGCAGCAAACTCTTAAGACTACCAAGTTTACAAGGAAAGCTAGTGGATGTCAAGTGTTAGCTGGCCATGTACTCTTCAGTTATGTTACCAAGATCCTAATGCTGACAAAACTACATCCTTTTCTGTCTTGTGACTCAATAAGACAATATGAAAGACAATAATGAAGAATAATGATTAGAGAAAATACATTTTTGCATTATAAAGAAGAAAAAAACAAAGATAAATCTCTGAATATTTCTAGAAATGTATGTGTGTATATATATGTTTTATATACCTACAGATATTTACACATATATGCATACAAACACATGTTCATTTTAAGATTTAACCAAAAGCTGTCCCTCTAGGAAACTAAAGTTCACATTTCAGGTAGAAGATGGTAGAATGGTTTTCTGTTGATTTTAAACAAAAAGAGAATTTGTCACCAATAGAATCAGGGATAAAGTTCACTGTAACAGAAAACGACCGTGGCAGTAACAGCTAATGATCTTACCAGTAAAGCTGATGGGCCACTTGGATGCTCTGAAGAGAACGATTCAGCAGGAGTTTCACTAGAGGGCTTTCAAGGCTCCACTCAAACTTGAGCACCTTAACAGATAAATTCATAATAAGAATCACTTGTATGCTGGCTTTATTTGTCTTTCCTTTTTAACAAAATTAATCAGAAAGGACCCAGTGCTTAGTTGGAATGAAGCAATCCAATATATGAAGAATGCCCTAGCAATGCAACGAGCAAAGAAACTTCAGGACACACGTGTCGGCCACCATCTGTAAGACAGGCAGACATCATCCTGATTCTGGCTGTGTTAACATATATGTAAGCATACAGCTTTTCTTCCCCCACTTAAAACTATCAATGCTACATTTAAATTTTTAGCTGATTACCTGGTTTGGAAAATAAAATTATTTGTGAAATGGAAGTTGCGGAAGGAGAAAGGTCGCATAAGTGTCCTACTGTGTTAATGCTGTAACGCTGTGCAGGTTCCACTGCTTCACAGTAGCGGATTACATAAATACATTCATACATGTATACATATACATCTATCTAGATATGTGTATATATGTGCATGCATTTACATAAATATATATTTAAAACCACACAAAACCCCCTGAGGAACTCTAAAACGTGGACTTGTAAGCAATCCATGTGTACAGTATGACAGGGTAAGGGGATAAAACTTTCAAAATGGCTGGTTCCTCCTTAACTGCAACACTGGACCTACTGAACCACAGAGTAATCGCTTTGGAGGCAGTGGGCCTGTAAAATGTAAAATATTAATTTCCAGTTAAATGTAATGTACATCTATAAAGAGACAATTCTACACCCAAATTGCCCTGGTTGCTCTGTGCTGACAATGATCTTGCCCATATATGTGGTATTAAAAAACCTGTGGTTTGTTGCAACACCATTTGCTTCCTTGACTGCAACAAAACCCTGCCACCACAAGCCCTTGGTTTGGTGGTCAGATCACAATTTCTCTTGTTCAGATGCATTTTTTTATTTTTCTTTTTTTAGATGAAAGTACCTTCTTGTAATATACAGAAAAGTTCAATCAGCATGCCAAACAGCTACATTCTCTTGAGTGGAAAACAGTCCATAGCTCAGCCCTGTTGTTAATTCAATCACTGCATCAGCTGACCAGCCTTTCTTATTTATTCCTCTTACAATGTATCAATCAAACTGAAAGAATCAAGAGTTTTTAATGAAGTTATTGATCTGGACAGAAGACTTCCTTGGCTATCAATTTCTTCCTTACCTGAACCAGCTGTGGGAGGTATTCTAACAATTCATCATTTGACAGATTTTCTATTTGCTGGACTGCTGTTCTGCGAATATCTTGATCTGGAAAACTAGAGAAAAACAAATAGATATCATTAAGAGCTACTGAACCACTGCAACTCTCCTGAGCTCTTACTGATATAAAATGTTAGAAAAACAGGTTTTCTCTCAAAATGGAATAGGAAAAAAATCAATTCATTTGCTTGACTGTAACAAGAGTCAAGAAACATATAGCGGATAACTTAATTGGATTGGCTGTTACAGTACCATACAGGGGAAAAAAAAACCCACCTGATTTTCAAATACCTTTTTTAATTTGAGTTATCATATGTTGTAATTTCCTTTATATCTACTGAAATATAAAGCAAATTTTGCGTCTTCCCTTGCTGCTCCTACTTACCTGAAATGGGAAATTTCCATGCCATTGGAACTTTTAACAGTCATTTGAAGACTTCTTTTATTCTGAGCAACAACACAAAAGCTTGACATTTCCCACACAAAAAGGGTTCATTTCAGACAATATGTTCCAATGTCAGCTCTTCTGGTTTGTATCATAATACAATTAAAAATATTTTTTAAACAGAAGTAATTTTGAAATGGAAAACATGTTTTCTTTTTAGTTTTTCTAAAGAAGAATTTAGTAAAAAATCAACACCTTCCCCCAGCAAGGCTCCAAGTCAGCGAAACAGCCATTTCTGACAGGAAAATATTTGAGTATTCAGCATAAGCTGTATTCTCAACAAATTCTGGTTGAAACCAGAGTGGCTGTAGCCTAATACAGATTTTGTGATGGTAAAAATGATAAAAGAGGAAAACACGGTGTAGCTGCAATGATAAAACAGGAAAAGAAGGCTGGATAATATAGCTGGTCAAAACCTTTTTTTTTTTTTTTTTTTAAAGAAAAAGAATGACATTTTGGTGTAACCTGATTGATAAAACCTGACTCTCAACAGAACAATTTCTCTTGTCAGAGAAAAAGACAAAACGTATGCAGTGCTTCTTTTAATATTTCAAAGCCGAAAAATAATCTTTCAAGGACTTCTTTTGAAAAAAATAAAATACAAAAATAATTTCCACCTTTCTGTGTGTTGCATTTGTGACGTTAACCGTGACACACGGATAATTTCCTGTATGCAGAAGTTGCCTAGATCGGTGCACAGTCAGCTGTTCTGCTGCTGTCCGGCGCTTTCACAAGGAGAGGACCAGATGTGCTCTTCTGTGTATGTCTGCTACGTGGTGTCACCCTTAACTATCTGTCAGTACTTCGGGCTTGTCCTTTGCCATCCCAAGATTCTTTTCTGTCTTCTCCTGAAGCAAACGGGAAATTTTCATACAGACCTTTCAGTCACCAGAGCTGCCAGAGTGGTCATCTCTGCCAACAGGGCAAAAATGCCTTCAGACAGCACCACAGTCAATTAGATATTGTTCAAAAGAGCTGCTGGGCTTTGATCCAGTTCTCTGAGGCCAAGTACCTGCCCCACAAAAAGGAGTGAATCTCTCCCCTCTGAACTGATACGGCTGTCAGTCTCTTTTGAAAATCTCTGATTTAGCAGTCTAGGCATACATAAAAATGACGAGTAAAGGACACAGACTATCCTGTCAATTCGCACTGCAGAAAGTCCTTTGAAATCAGAACCATCGTGTATGGGCAGAAGGTGTCACGGGGCCACCAGTATCACTGCTTTATGAGCTCAGCACAATACCAGACTGCTCTTTTCCCAGCTTACCATCCGGCACCTTTTGCCAACAATACACCCACTAGAAAAATAAATCAGAAGTGAAACATGGGAGGCAGTACCACATTTGCAGCAATTGCTCACTGCTATCAAGAGAGAAAGAGAAAAAAATTGTAAAGGTAAGTGCTCAGAAGTATAATGGCACCTGTAGCTCTAAACTTAAGCTTTTAAGTTCAATATAACAAACTGAAGCGAAACAATATGTACACTTTGATCACTGAATTAACTACAGGCCATCAAATAAAAATGTGGATATTTAAAAAAAAAAAAAAAAGTCTAACAAGTTGGACCTACTTGCAAGGCCTGGCTTCTGTGCTGCCATCAGCTGCCACCTGTAGTGCTTTCAACCCTCTTGTAAAAATGCAGCTCAGGTCTGATTTTATTATTTTGTCTGTCTGTTATGGTACATATTTGATGATGTTTTTAATACAGTTATAATTGTTTGTACAATGCTGAGAGGGGCTTGATGACGAGAGGGTGAATACATTATAAATACATTGTTGTGATAGCCCCAAATTACGTGATTTTGCAAGGATTATTTTTTATTTATTTATTCTAGGCAACCTGTTAGGAACATGAAGTTGCTACTTCAATATTCACATGGCTATTTAGAACAAAACATATTTGAAGGCGGACTGCATATTAAAAAAATTAATCTTTTTTATATCATCTTATCTTCGAATTATGCAATTCCTCCGAAGGCCTGTGTGCCAAGCATGTGCAGATAATATAGATATTAGTCTTTCCACTCCCCTTCTCACCTAGTTCAACAGGTTACGGAACACTGAAATATGCTCTATATAGGCACCAAGTCAAGCAGAAAAATGTTATTACTTAGTTACTGCTTGTTCTTACTAGCAGCTAGCATTTGAATATATGCAATGCTATGATGAGAGAAACTTGTATTTTTTTCAGCTAAACAAAGAACGATAAAATTATTTCAATCCTAACCTTTCCAGAAAATTCAATAGCTAACATTTAATTTGTTTAGAATTAATTTACTGGAAGTCAAAACTGGGGCTATATCTAAGTTAGCAAAAGTATCTCTAGAAGATGTGATTATAATAATGATGAGCTCCAGTGCAACAGGTTAGTTTGTTTCAGGAAACATGGCTCTTGTCACTCTTCTTGAATGAGATTTTGGCAATTTGTTGGTCCCAGTTACTAAACCGTTTCCTTTAGCTTTTAAATCTCGAGGTCAGCTTGACGCTGGGTTGAATCTTTTTGAAAGAAGGGGCAGTTACCATGTTCTCCTAACTACCTGACAATTTGTTAAGCCCCAGATGTAAAATCCACTGGTCTTCTGAATTTCAACACTGTTCAGGGCCACAGTTACAATAGAAAAAAAAATTTTAATTGTATTTGATTTACCCCTTACATTTGTATTTGAGCAAACATTTAACATCCTCAGAAAAACTAGAACTACAGCAAATACTTATGAATTCAACTGGTATTACACGGTGCTTATGCTATTCATGCTTACATACATCGGTTTATTTGCTAAAAGCCAATAACAGGGTAAGGTCTAGAAGTAGATCTGAGTAAAAAAAATCCTACTCTTCACATGCCTGGAAACTATGCCATCATGTAGTCTGGTATTAATTAGGGCTAGAGGGGTTTTTCCAGTGAATAATCTTGCAAACTTTTGAGTGTTGCATCAAATCTGATTTCAGTAATCCATAAATTAGTTTTGATTAGAGGACACAAATAATTGATTTTTTGGGTCTGTGACTCAATGCAAGAGAAATCACTTCAGGCCTAAGAAAAACAGATTCATAGTTTGTCTGTTAGGGGACAGCTGATTTCCAGGGCTTGCTATACTGAATGTGTAATTATTTACATATACTGAAAACTCTGGAAGCAGAGGAGTGAGACGACTGTATCACAACAAATTCAATGTTCCAGTCTTTAAGGGCACGGTCCTAAGAAAGAGGAGCTCATCTGTACCACAGCTCATCTATATCAGATCAATTTTGCAAATGATTTGAATGATAGATTATCAGGTTCCTGACATGTGGCCTCTGATAATGGCTTCAGAGATGCAGGAAATTCAGGCAATCCGCTTCCCTAGCTGTTTTATGGTTGTGACCAAAATATTTGAGAATTTAGCTAGAAAAAGCAACTTAAAACAAAAACCTTTAACAATATTTGTATGCCTCTTTCTTTGCACAGTTTCAAAATGGTAATTTTCATCCGGGTTTCCAATTACTTCTAGTTACATCTTTTTGCTCTACAACCAACTATGGTGCTCCTCATTCATTTCCCTGACTGCATTGTAACATATTGTAGCTTTCTTCTTTTGGCGGATTTTATTTGCCCTCTCTTCAGGTAATGGGTACTCTACAACAGAGATTGTGACTTCTTATAAATTTGTTCTAGGTTTACATACTCAGAGACACTACTGAAAAATAAACACTATGCAAATGATAGTTGTTGACTCTAGTCCTTAGCAATAGGTCACACTATGCAGGACATCAAATTTCCCTTCCATAGCTCATTTCACAGACTGGATCCTCCTTAAGTTATGAAACTGATTTACTTTGATATTTAACCCCAACACTCCCTTTGCTGTTTTGTTCTTCCCTCCCTGCATGATGCCAAGGATTGACAGCCACCCGTTTTATAACTTCTGTCTAAGTAGCTGCAAATTGTTAGGTCCCCATTGAGACTTTAAGATGGTTTTTTGTAAAAGTTGATTTTTGAGCTGGATGAGCATAGGTTACAATTTGCTTTAGAAGTAAGATCAGCTGACAGTCTGATTTTTTTCATACAGATAGCCAGTAGGGAGCTATTTGTCTAGCTGTACCTTTCAGCCAAATCAGATTCAAACAGAAAACTAAGTGCTGCTGAGGCATCCTGTGGATTTGTGAAATTCTCTTGAGATTTTAGCATTTTCCAGTGGTGACTTGATTGTAAATGAGAAATAGATGTGCATTTCATTTTTAACAGTTTTATTATCCTAATTTTATTGCACTGTCTCAAATACCCATATGCTGGAAGATACTTGTCAGGCAAATGGACCTGTGCAGTTCGCTACATTTTCTAGCATGTGAGGATCTCTACAGAGAACAGAATGGCCTTTCACAAGCCATCTTTTAAGTTAGAGGCTTATAACATGCCACATGTTTCTGCAATTCCCTTCACACTTTAAGTTCTGTTGCATTTTCAAAAAAGAAAGACCCTGGTCTCACGAAATGCATGTTATTAAGTCTGGTAGAAAGAAGGAAGGTTGAGCTAGCAAACCTATTGGAATGAAGATACCAATTCAAAACAACAAAACCCTCTAAGCTGTAAAAGATACCATGTCACTGACAGGTGCAACTGGGCCAAGAGAG